TTGGCTGCAAGAGAGAGAAAAGGCGGTCAGGTGGGCGGTCAGGTGGGGCGGTCAGGTGGGGTGGTCAGGTGGGGCGGTCAGGTGGGTTGGTCAGGTGGGGCGGTCAGGTGGGTTGGTCAGGTGGGGCGGTCAGGTGGGTTGGTCAGGTGGGTTGGTCAGGTGGGGCGGTCAGGTGGGTTGGTCAGGTGGGGCGGTCAGGTGGGGCGGTCAGGTGGGTTGGTCAGGTGGGATGGGCTGGTGTGGAGAGTGGAGACAGGGCTGCCAGCTGGGCCCTCACTCTGGACACAGTCTCCTCCGAGGCAGGCAGGTGAGGGGGAGGTGAAGGGGCTGGGACTGCTCTCCCCGGAGGCCTTGTGGGCCTGGATTTGCATGGCGGTGAGGGAGGGCCGGGAGCCGCCAGGGTCCTGCCCGCTCACCCTGAAGCAGCTGAACGTGGGGTCTAGAGTGGCAGACGACCTGCGACCACGAGTGTCCACTGGGTTTGTTCACTCACTCACTCACTCATTCATTCCTCATTCATTCATTCATTCACTCAGTCATTCACTCATTCATTCACTCATTCACTCAGTCACTCAGTCAGTCATTCACTCACTCATTCATTCACTCAGTCACTCAGTCAGTCACTCATTCATTCACTCACTCACTCACTCGCCCACAGTGTCTCTGGAGGCCCATCCTGCCGGGCTGGGGGAGGGTGTGGACAAACAGGGCTACTGCGGGTCACAGGCTGGAAGCCCTGGGACACTAGGGCTGCAGCCGTGGTAGTGATGAGTGTGTGGGGGGCAGGACCTGAGATGGTGGGTGACATGAGGGCCCGGAGCACTGGGCCTGGACCCAAAGCCGGGGTCAGCAGATGGGTGACTCGAGCCCCTGTCCCCTGTGCCTCAGTTTCCCCAGGGAGAATAGGCCACCTTCCAGGGTTGATGTGAAGCAAGGGAGCTCCCACCCGGGCCCCTCCCTCGACCAGAGCGGGACTGCCAGTCGCTGCGGCTGCCCTGTCCACCTCGCTCTGCCCGGCTGGCTGCCCTCCCACCCTCCGCAGGCTGAAGGGGCAAAGTGAAGCAGGCAGCCTCTGTCGATGTCAGGCTGTTCGGGTCAGCACCGCCCCCCGCCCCCAGCAGGGCTCCAGCGCCTGTGTTAGCTGCGGGTGCGAGTCAGGGCCGCTGTGTCCGGCCCAGGTGCTGCCCAGGTGGGAGAGCCGCTGTGCCCCGGCCCCTGGGCCGCAGGAGCCCTGGCTCCAGGCAGGGCCTTCAGCTCCCGCACCTTCCGGGCCCCCCTGCCTCCCCTGTGTCGCCGCCGTCTGCGTGAGGGGACCCGAGGCAGAGCCGGGCCAGGAGCGCCGGCGGGTGCCACGCAGAAGCTGCGGACGCGGCTAAGTGGTGTCGGTGGCTCCGAGTGGCTGGTCTCCCGGAGCTGACAGCGCGTCGCTGGGGGAATAATTAATTCCGCGGCTGAAAACCCAGGGCTGCAAGTTGCCACGTTACTTGCCAGATTAATACAAGCAGCTAATTAAGATGGAGAGGCGAGGAGCGACTGGCGCTCCCCGAGCAGGGCCAGCGGCCACGGGGAGCTCGGAGGCGGCCAGGCAGCTGGAGCCGGGCCCTGGGGGGAGCGGGGGGGGGGGGGGGCTGGTGGGACCCCAGGCAGACAGGCAGGCGGCTGAGGAGCTGCCGTCCCACCCACCCCGGCCCTGGATGCGGCCTCTGCCCCAGGAAGGCACGTTCAGTGACCGCGTGCGGGCTGTTTGCCAGGCACCGGCGAGGCTGCACACAGGCCTGCTCACTCACAGGGAAGCAGCAGAAAGCTGTTGTCCCCATTTTATAGACACGGAGGCCGAGGCCCCAGGGTTGTGTTGCGCGTGGAGGTAGCAGGATCGCAAGTGGGTCTGTCTGACTCCAAAGCCAAGCCCGTAAAGTGGGCTGACCCCAGGGCAGACTGCCCGAGGGCCTGTCCCAGGGCGGCCCTCCCATGGCCAGGGCCCGGGCTTGCCTCCTCCACATCACGGCAGAGCGCACAGTAGGCCTGCCCCCGCCCCGCCAGGTCTGAGTGCAGAGCTGGGGGGACTGGGCATCGGGACAGCCCTGTCCCAGAGCCAGCAGGGGCATCTCGGGTCCAGGGTTCCAGCTCCCAGCGCCCTAGGTCCTCAGGGCAGTCCTGGTGGCTGTCGGAAGCTGCCCTCTGTGGTCCTTCCCCACCTCCCCCATCACCTCTCTCTCTTAATTAACACCGGCTGCAAATGAGCTGGCTCCCGCTCTGAGGGCTCCGTGCCAAATGGGTTGGCAGGGAGCCCTGAAGGGGCAGGAGGAGAGGGGGCACCGACCTGCCGCTCTGCAGGCCTCTGTCGGAAGGCGATGCCAACCCCACCTTGTGCGACCCTGCCCAGGAGAGGGGACTGGGGTGACTGATGTCCACTGGGCCGGGAGTATCCAGGGGCCGAGGAGGCGGGCCTGGGCCAGAGGAAGGCTTTCCCCAGGCTGAGCGGGGGGAGGGCGCCAGGTGGCATTACCTGCCACAGGTGGGAAAGTTGACTTGGGCTGCACAGAGGACTGGTCACCGGCCTGTCCCCAGCTCAGCAGGTGTCCTAGGAGGCTGGCCTGCAGGGCCCTTGCCCAGCCCGCCACACTCAGCCCTCCACGGTGGGGACGCGGGGGAAGGGCAGTGACCCTGCGGTCCTCCCCTGCTCTCGCCCTGGCCCGCGTCTGGCTCTGTCCCAGGTACCTGGCCGCCTGGCCACCGGAACGCCCACAGGCTGACGAAGGTCTCAGCTGGGCCGGATCCCCGGGCAAATGGCCTGGGGGTCTGGGGAGGATGCTGACAAAGGCGGGGGGGGGGGGGCACTGCCGAAGACACCAACAGCCTCTCCCACCCGAAGCAGGTGGTCCCAGGCCTTCCTGCTCCCAGGCCAGGCCTGGCTCTCCCCACCGCCCCCACCCGACGCCGGCCTTGCGTCTCCAGCTCCTGCCCCTTCTGCTGGCCGCCTTTCATGCCCCTCGGTTTGGCTTCAGGCTCCAATCACCACGGGGGGATTAGCCCATTTCTCAGGTGAGGAAAGGCGGCTCGCAGAGTGAGTGGGGAGTGGAGAAGGGGCTGGAACAGGACAGTTGGTTGTCGGCACCCGTTTCCTTCACCCCTGTTCCCTCCCTGAGCCTGAAGGGCTCCTGACACCTTCTCGCTGAGCCTGGCGAAGGCTGAGCCGCCGCATGGTGTGGGGATGAGCCCTGGGTTCCAGTCTAAGCCAGGGCTCCCGACCTGGCTCTGCCCCAGAGACCCACACCTGCCCCAGCCAAGCAGGGCTCTGTGAGCTCAGGAGGGGCTGGGCGAGCTGGGCCCTGGCCTCCCCCTGGGCCTAGGGAGGGGGTGAGGCTTAGTCTGGCTTTGCAGGGGGTGTGGGTTCCTGGGACAGAGGGGGCACCCTGGGGGCTGGGGTGCAGGTCTGGCAACTGCCAGCGGACTCTGCTCATCGGCCCCCCCACCCCCCGCAGCGCAGGGGGCCCAGGCCCCTGCGTCCCCTGCCCGTGGACGCGGACGTGCCTGTGCCGCGCTCCACTGGCCTTGTGTCACCGGCTCCAAGCTCAGTGCTGGGCCTGTGACCTTGGGGTGGCAATGAGTCCTCAGCCCTCTCACCAGTCACTACCAAATCCTCTGTCCCCTGATGGTGGCCCGCCGGGTCAGGGGCTGGGGGCCTGGGGCGCTCACTCCCCACCTCCACTCACTCTGCTGCCCTCCCCTGCCCCCCACTGCTACTCATGCAGTGTACCCCCAACCCCATTCACCCCTGCTCCCTCCACGCCCTCAGGCCCTGCGCACCTCCTCTGGGGCGGGGCGGGGTGGGGGACCCAGCCCCTCCCCACCCAGCACTTGCTGTCCCTTTGGGCAGGGTGGTGTCGCTCCCCAGGCTGTGCTCCAACTCCTGAGCTGGTTCAGGGCTGGCAGGTGGCCACTGCCCAGTGACAGGGAGAAGCTAGGGCAGTGGACACCCGGGGGCAAGGCAGACCCCGGGGCCACTTCTCTCTCTGCACAGAACAGTTTAACTGGGTGCCAACCATGTGCCAGGTGCCACAAGCATACTGAGATGAAGCAGACACTGTCCCTGGAAGGAGGGGGGCTCTAGTCCTGGGGGGTGGGCGGGGGCATGTAAATGCCAAGAGCTGGGGCAGCCTGAAGACTGGCAGGCTTCATGGAGGAGGCGGCCTGTGAGCTGAGGCTGGAGGGAGGCTGTGCTTTCAGAGTAGGAAGGGCATGTGGGTGGGGCATGGCCGGACGGGTCAGGGCACTTTCCTGTTCAGGATGAGGGGCCTGGTCAGCGGGACCTGACTCCACCGCTGGAGGGGAGGGGGTCGGAGGGGCTGTAGGAGCTGGGATGGGAAGAGGCGGAGCTGAGGGGCTGAGGGAGGCCCCTCCTCCTCTTCCGGTTGCCCCCCCCCCCCCCCCGGCCCCTGCCCAGCACCTCATTAGAGGAAGAGCCCCCACTTTGAGGGCCCAGTCATGTGTCCTGGGCCCATAATACTTTTAGGGAGACAGGAAAGTGTTGTCATTTCTTTTAAGAAAAAAGTGAACTTTAAGGTTGAAGAAGATGTTTTCATGTATAATGTTCATATGTTTGTCTTTATGCCAATAAAGTAATCAAATCTAACTTTAATACTTTTTTAGATAAAAAGGGCCCACAGTGGCAGGAGAGCTGGGCGGAGGCCAGGTCAGCTCCGAGGACCCCGTGCGGGAGACACCGTTCCTGCCCTGTTTACAGACGAGGGAGCTGGTCCACGGAGCACGGCCTCTCACAGGCGGATGGAGATTCTCCTCTTTTACCTGCGGCTCCTTGACCACCCCCTCTCCCCCCCCCCCGCCCCAGCCCCTGGGCGCTCAGGTTAGAGAACTGATCCCTGGCATTCCCAGGCCTATGGCCCGCCGGCTCACCCCTCTTCGCTTCCCCGTGCCCCTCCACCTCTCCCTCAGCCACACTCCAGGTCCTCATACTTGCCCCATTCCTCCTGCCCCAGGGCCTTTGCATGTGCTGGTACCGCTGCCTGGAAGACACCCTCCCCATCTCCCAGCCTGGGAGTCAGCCTTGAGCGCGTCAGCTACCAGGATCTCGAGCAGCCCTGGCTACGCCCTCCCCTGGGTCAGGAATCACTGCCGCCAGCATCTTCCCCTCCCAGGTGAGTGCCTCCCCCCTCCTGCCTTAGCCCACGTGTCTCACCCACAGTGTGTCCCCAGCTCCCAGCACAGAGCCGGTGCGCAGCAGGGCCCGCTGACAGTTTACTGAGGAGACCGAACAGGCTGTACATGGGTTGTGCTCAGAGTCGCTCAGCCAGGCCACACGGGTCGCCCAGGGGCCTCGCAGAGGCAGGGCCTGGGTGGGGTGTGCCGGCCGCAGGGCCGGTCCAAGGGCAGTGGCGGGAGGCCAGGCGGGTGGGAGCCTTTCTCTGATGGGAACTAGATCCTCCAGCCCCGGGTGGGGGGAGCACCCAGGGAGGCGGGGACACGCGGGGGCGCTGCCAGAGAGGGGACTCAGTGACCTGAGGAAAGCGCTGAGCCGGTCACTGGGCCAGGGAGGGCCTGCACGCGGGCACAGTGGTGACAGCAGTGACTTTGAGCCCACACAGTCCCTCTGTGTGTTTCTGGGGCCGCTGCTGACACATGCCCGTGACCGCTGCTCCTCCAAACACCTTGTCCCGGCCTCACACGCCGGGGAGGCCGCCCACCAGCCTCCCTGAACTGGGGGCTGCTCCCCCCCCCACCCCCCCGCAGCCTGGCCGCTGTCCTCCATCCTCCTTTGCGAGGCCAGATCTCAGCTTTCTGTCATTGACCAGTCGGCATCCAGTGCCCACTGTGCCAGGCTCTGGGACACAGCCGGGCAAGGCCCTGCAGCACAGAGCTCATTGGCCAGGGCGGGTTGGGAAACAATAGAAGGAGAATAAACTGAATAAAGAGAATCAGTCGGCACCAGAGGCTGGGAAGGGAGTAAAAGGGAGAGGAGAGCGGCAGACGGGTGGTGGGGCTGATCTAGAAGGATCAAGGGACTGCTGCATGGAAGGAGCCAGCCTGTGCAAAGGCCCTGGGGCAGGAGTGGGCCTGGCGGGTTTGAGGTACATCCAGGAGGGGGCGAGTAGGAAAGAAGGTCAGAGGGCAATGGGGGCAGGAGGGGGACCCGCTAGCTACTGCACTCTCCAGGGGATCCCTTCCCCAACCTCCCTGAGGGGGAGCCTCTTTTGCACCCCCCCCCCCACACTGCCTAGGTGTCCTGACTGCAGCTGCCAGTTCTGGCCTGCTCCCCCCCAGGCTGGGCCCCACTGCTCACCTGTACCCCAGAGCCTGGCATAGTGCCTGGTACCTACGAGGTGATGATTGCTGACCGGCAGCCCAGCTCCACAGGCAGGTTTAGGGGCGTGGGCTTTGTTCTTGGGAAGTCAGTGTGTTGCCCCCCAGGCCAGTGGCGGGTACTTGTGTTACTGAGGGTGAGTCGTCTAAAACATGTTTTAGATGAGAAACGCCCCACCGAGTGAATAAAACGTAAAATGTGCTGAACTTTTGAAGATAAAACAAGAGACTTCAAAGGCATCTCACGCTGCGGGCAGTTACCCTGTGTGACGAGCTCTGCCCCTCAGGCCAAGGTCACTGTCTGCTGAGGTGGGGCTGCCCGTGAAAGTGTGAGGGTCGCTGCACAATTCCCAGGTTCGGGGGAGCTCACAGGGGACGGGGGCAAGGGGCTCCCATCTGTGGGCACCGACCACAGGCTTTCACACGGCACCGCTGCTGCCCATCTGAACGCGTCCTATTACAGATGGGGAAACTGAGGCCCAGAGAGGCGAAGGGACATGCCCAAGGCCACGGAGCTTAGTGGGAGGGGCCGGTGTCTGTGCTTGGCCAGGCCTGGTCCTGAAACCCCAGCTGTGAACTTGAATTTGAGCCAGTGGCTCTGCCTCCTGGGGCCTCAGTCTCCTCATCTGTGAGGTGGGTAGGTCAGTTAACTGATGTCCTCGGGGGGCATGGGTGGTAACGTTCAAAATGCCCGTAAAACTGTGATGGCCCCATAGGGTGTCCCAGCGGCAATGGGGTCCCCTAACAAGAGCAGCTTCTTACTGAGTTTGGTCACCAGCTCCCTAGGGAGAGCCATGGGGACTTTGCTGAACGTGCAGCTCCATTCTACAGAAGGGGAAACTGAGGCTCAGGTAAGTGCCTGGCCCGAGGCCACACAGGTTGGGGTGGTGGAGACGGGGTTCGAAGCCTGCGGGTCTGACCTGGAACCCGGGACACTAAGCATCCTGCTCAGACTTGGCTTGTTTGCCTCCAGGACTGAGCCCCTCACCCGCTCTGCTCTGAGCAAAGCCCTGTGATCCTCAAAGCTGTTGGGAGCTGTACCCAGCTGGGCCCCCACTTCTAGGACGCCCCTCTCACTGGCCCTGTGCCAGGCCTGACTCCTCTGCCTCCCCCGAACCTTCACTCCTGCCCTATCCCCCTGGTTTGCCCAGGCGTCCACCCCAGGCCTCTCCCTACAAAAGCCAGCCAGGCAGCCGTTTCAGCTCAAAGCCTGTGAGTGGGTGGTGGTTCCTGCGGGCCTGGGCCTCTCCCTTGTCCCCTCCTGCCTGGGTGCCTTGGACTCGGCCCCTAGAGACCCAACCTCCTAGCCAGTGGCCCCCAAGCTGGACCCCAAGCCCCTCAACACCCGCTCTCCAAGCCCCATCACAGTCACCGTCCGCAAGGAATTCATGGGTAATCTACATCAACACAACACACAGGGGCAAAAAGCAAAAGAAAAGGGAGTCACCCTTCCCTCATCACTCAGATCCCACGAGCCCCTGTTCACTTTCCTGTCGGACCTTTTAGACTTTAAATAAAAACCAAACATAGTTAATAACACATTTATCAAGCCAGTTCTCTGCGCCAGGCACTGGGCCAGGTCTTTTAGATGGAGTCTCTCATTTCATAGTTCCCTCCCCTGAGAGCCTAGTGAGGGTGATATTATTCCCCCACTTTACAGATGAGGAAATAGAGGCTCAGAGAGGTCGAGTGACTTGCCCCAGGTCGCGCAGCTGGGCTGGGAAGTGGGGGAGCCAGAGTTCGAGTCAGGTAGTCCGACCTCTAAGGGACCAGGGCGGGCTGCAGCGCTGCGGGTGCAGACCAAGCAGACCCAGCCCGGGCTGCCGGGGCCTCCCCTCCCCCAGGAGCCGGGGGCAGGCGCTCAGCGTCCCGCCATTAGCATAACCATGAGAGGAGCATCCCTGAAACCCAATTACCAGGAGATGGCTTGGGCCCCAGCCAGCCGGGTGCAGGCTCCATCTGCGCAGGAATGAGGGGCGGGAGCCCAAGGGGGAGTGGATGGCTGGCTGAGGGAAATGTCCTGAGGGGAGGGGCCGGAGAAGGCCCCCAGGCCAGGCTCGGGGTCGGTGTGGGGGTGACCCCTCTGATCAGTGCCGCTGGACAAGCCAACTACCCCCAAGGACAAGCCACAGGCTCTTCCACCCCCAGCTGGCTGGATGACCCCAGGCAGCTCCTCGCCTTCTCTGAGCTTCATTTTAAAACCAGGAGCTGATTGAACAGAAAACAAACCGAGGGTTTGGAGGAGGAAAGAGGACCCCCCAACAGCCAGGCAGGCGGGGCCTCCACTTCCCACTTCCCCCGAGTGTCTCCTCTCTCCTGGGCCACCCCTCCTCTGCCCCGCACCCTCACGCATCCTCTCAGCAACCTTTCCTATTGATTTCTCACACACACACACACACACACACACACACACACACACGGCCCCTTGACCTACCACCAGCCCAACAAATATACCATCACAGAAGAGTTGAAGCCCCCCCAATGCAGAGGAACCCCCCCCCCCCCCCGCATTCAGGTTGCACGTTCCTGACGGTTCTGCTGTGCATGACATTAGCGAGGCCGGCATGTCTCCGTTTCATATAAAGCCGGGCTCCTGGGGGCGGCCGCATGCCCCCGCCACGCTGGGGAGGTGGCCCCGGTCGGCCCGTGCTGCTCTAGTGGGTCTGTTTTCACTGCCGTGTAATACTCCAGGCGGGGACCGCCCCGCACGCATCCATCTGCTCTCCCACAGACCAGCGGGCCGCCGTGCCAGTTTTGTCTCTGGCACGCGCAGCTGCAGTGGCATCTTGCACACGTGCGCGGGGAATTCTGTCGGGCGCACACCTGGGAGTGGGGCTGCTGGGCGGTGGGATATGCTCATCTTTTACTTCACTAGTTTCTGCCAAATTGCTCTCCAAAGTGGTTGTTCCGATGATCGCTTTAAAATATAAATTAAGTCATGTCACTTCCCTGCTTAAAAATCTCAAATAGCTTCCGATTACATTAGAATAAAATCCATATTCCCCTCCATGAATGCCTGGCTACATCCCACACTCTGCTCCCCCCAGTTTTCTTGCCTTCTTTCTCTTCCTCCAATAGGTCTTGCTCTTTCATGCCCCAGGGCCTTTGCACATTCTGCTTCCTCTGCCTGACACACTCTCCCTGCAGCTTTTCCCAGACAGGCTCCTTCTTATCCTTCAGGTCTCAATGAAAAGTCACCTCCTCCGAGAGGCCCCTCTTGACCACCCAGCCGAATGCCTCCTGTTCCTCTTATCGCACTGGACTTTCTGCTGGAGCCCTCACCATGGTCCTGAACGACTCATCCTCAGGCTCGTTGGCTGATGTGCTCCCAGCATGGCAGCCTGTGGGAGACGACCTAGTCGTCTTTGGTCATTCTTGTACCCAGAGGCCAACACGGGGTCGGCACTGAGGAGCTGCTCATGGTGCCATTCATCCATTCAGCAGACATTGATTTGGGCCTGTCTGGTTCCATGTCTGGGGGGGGTGTGAGCTGTGTGGGTCAGGGAGGGTGAGCTGTAGCGGAGGCCTGAGGGGGCCAGGGCAGGTGTGGGAGCAGCAGGGTGGGGCTTGCACTTTAGAAACACGCTCTCTGAGCTGAGCGGGAGGGAACTGCAGGGGGTGGGCCTGGGGCAGGGGCTGGGGGTAAGTGGTGGCCCAGGGTTGAGGAGGGCCAGGAAGAGAGGCAGTGCTGCACCCACAGGGACCAATTAGAGGAGTGTGGGCGACGGTTGGATCAGGCCTGGGACCGGCTTCCGATGTGGCCCAATCAGGTCAATGGAAGGAGCACTTTGCGTGTGAGCTCCCCTCCAGTCCCCTCCTTCCTCCACTGCAGGGAGCTGGGGGCAGCTTCCTGATGCAGACACCCAGCAGCTGCCCCTGGATCCCAGAGGCGCCCTTGACCTGGCCCCGACCCTCAGGCTCAGATGGGAAATCGAGGCTGGGAGGACAGGATCACTCCTGTTGGCGCAGGAAGTGCTTCCTGGAGGCCAAACAGGCTCGCCTTCTTCTCTTCGGGACAGAAGGAAGGGCGAACACTTGCTGCCCGGGGAGTTCGGGGAGGCCCCAGGGAGGACTTCCTCGGACGCTGCCCACCCCCAGCCTGGCCAGCCTGCCTCCTCGGCCGCCTGTGACCGCTGGTGGCTCCCGAACCTGACTGGGACTCTCAGGACCAAAGACTTGGGGGCGGGCGGGGTGGGGGGGAGGGGGAGAGGGGGCTCATTTGAGGTCACTCAGCCGGGAAGAGGCGGAGCAGGTTAATCCTTCGGTGGGAGCAGAGCCCCTCAGGAGGGCCAGGGGAGGTGGGTGAGGAGTCCCAGCTCCCGCCCTTCCCTGGCCCTGGGGTCTGGGAGCTGGGGCACCCCAGCCCTGTAGGCTCAGGGCGGCCATCCTATCCCCTTCCAGGCCCCAGCCCGGCTCCTGCCCTGACTGCCTCAGGTCCCCCCTGGGCTGGGTGCCCCTCCTCTCAGTCTTTCCAACCTCCCAGCTGGGGCTCTGCTGTGAGGAGGGGGCAGAGGAGGAGGGAGGAGGGGGAGGGAGGGGAGGGAGGCAGCAGTAGCAGCCATTGGTATGCAAGGCCCTGCCTCAGCCCCTCCAAGGCCCAGCCTTTCTGCTCAGCTCTTTAAGAATCCCTCCTAGGCAGCCGCAGCGAGCAGCTTGGTGGTTGCTGGGCAACACCCCCCCCCATCCCATTGGCACCCTCTCCCCCTCCCCCTCCCCTGTGCCTCCTCTCGGCCCAGTCTCAGCAGTGCACTTAGCTAGAACCCGCCAGGCCTGGCTGCACCTGTGCCAGCAGGTGAGGGGCCTTGAGTGACCCCGCCCAAGCCCAGCCCTGGGCCACGGCTCTGTGCCACCAGGACTTGAGGAAGGAGACCCCGGGCTCACGACACCCCATCTGTAGACCCCTTGCCACCCGACTTCAGTGGCTTCAGCCGCCCTGAGGGGAAGGAGCTGCTGGGGGAAGGGCAGAGAGGACCCAGGAGCTGAGTCGACCCAGCCACCCAGCGCTGGGCTGCGCCTGCAGATTTGTGCTGGGAGAAGACCCCTCCTTTCTGCAGGCCGCACGCTCCCCACCCTCCCTGCGCCCTTCTCTCTGTCTTGCCTCCCTGTCTGGCCAGGAACCTGGGTGGGTTCTGAGCCCCTGATAAAAAGGTCTGCAGGGGTCAGAAGAGGCTCCGTGATGGGTGGTGGGGTGTCACTGGAGGCCCAGACCCAGCAGACATCTCTGAGGCCCCAATCTCAGAACCCGGGCATCTTCCACCCCACCTTCCTCAGCCCTGCCCTTCCCTCCTCCCTGCTGGGCAGTCTCGGGGACCCTACCCTGCGGCTCCCCAACATCTTGGGCATGTGCCCTCTCTTTGTCCTCCCAACTTCCTTCCTGATCAGGCTTGCAGGTCTGGCCTCCCCTCTGCTTCCATCTCCACCACCCTCTGCCCGGAGCCGCTCACCGCCCACCCCTCCTCCTGGCCTGCCCCCTGTGCACAGTTCACACCTCTGTTCCTGAACTTGGGATGTGTACCAGGTGAGTGACAGCCAGTCCCCAGAGAAAGCATTAGCTCTGCTGGGAATAATGCCCTGGGAGCGAGTGGGTGAGGGAAGGAGTGAGTGAGAGGCAGCCCCGGGTCTGGCAGAGATGGGAGTGTGGGGGGGGGGCGGTGATGTCATTTGTGGGGAGAAGAGGAGTTTCCCAACAGACAGGAGGGCCCATCAGAGACAAGTCTCTGTCCCGCCAGGGAGGGGGCTGGCTCGGAACCCTGGCCCCCGGGGGCACAGTCCTGCCTCTGCCCAGGCCCAGGTTGGACCTCTCCGGCTTCACTCCCTGTGTCACCCGCACACAACTGGACCACGCCCTGCCCTGCCCTGCCCTGCCCGGGCCGGAACACCATCTTAGGGCAGTTCCAGTTGGGAGCAGCTGTCACCGCGAAGGCAGGGCTGTCCTCTCCAACGCCCAGCAGGGCCTGACTGCTCTGGCCACACATGGGCCTATTGCAGGTGCTGGGGACACGAAGGGACCCAGGAGCCCTGGCTGTGTCCTCGAGGTGCTGGGAGAGATGGACGCCAACAAAACACGGGCTCCGTCAGTTCCAGTCTTGGCCACTGTTTTCTGTACCTCAGGGGTGGGGTGCGGGGGAGAACGTGCCAGCCACGCCCGCTCTCAGCGATGCGAAAGTGTCGTCCAGTGGGTGGAAAATGTAGCCCACAAGTCACACGTGATCACAGACTGAGCGGAGAGCTGCCGAGGAGAGGCCTGAGGGAGCAGAGAGCAAGGGGGCCTCCTTGGGAAAGTGGGGTTCAGGGAGGACAGGATGGTTAAGCCCGGGACTAAGGGGTGAGCAGGAGTTGGCTGGGCCTCTTGGCGGAGGGAAGCGGGACCCCTGTGTCAGTGCCCGGGGCAGGAGTGTGCCCAGAGGCCGGTGGCGGGGAGCACTGCGGCTGAAGCAGGAGTGCTCCCTCCCTGGCCAGCAGCTTCCCCAGGCCCAAGGCCGAGGCCAACCCTTCCGTGGTCCCACTGCCCCCAGCTCAGGAGTCGCTGGCTTCATCCCGCCTGGCTGTGGTCCCTGCTGTGTCCACTCCCTTCTCTGGACTTCCCTTGCCTGGGCTGGGGGTCTAGTTCCCTGCTCCCCCAGAGATTTGCTTGGGGTCCACCCGCAGCTCCTGCACCCTGACCCTTGCTCTGGGGAGGAGCCCCGCCTCTGGGTGCAGGATGGAAAGGGTCAGTCAGGTGGGGTGGGGGAAGCTGCTCGAATGGACATCCTGGTGAGGGCTAGTATGCCTGACAGGCGTGCCCAGCAGGTGTGCACAGCCAGCCTGCCACAGGCCACTTGCCATGGTTCATGGACACCTCCCTGGGGGCCCCAGGGCGTCCCCGGGGCCACGGCCTGGGAGCCAGGCGGACCAGGTATTCAGTGACTGGGGTTCTCTGGGGGCCCCCTCAGGTATCCCCAGACCCAGGGGACCCTGGGATCTTGGAGGGCAGAGATGAGGTGCTCCTGCCCCCCGCCCCCCAGCACAGGCCCACCCAGGGCCACCACCTTGGTTGACAACAATCTACTAACGGTGAGCCGTGTTGTCCCTTACAGCACTTCACAGTGCACTTGCCTCTTGGAACCTCAGGGACTGTCACACCAGCCCCAGGATGTCTGCGAGGCCCATGGAGATAAGAAAATTGAGGAGCAGCAAGGCTAGAGGCTAGGACAGTGCCGGGGTCCCCAGCGGGTAAGTCGGGAGGTGGCGAGCAGAATCCAGGCCGGGGGCCTGCAGATAGGGTAGGCAGATGGGGAAGCGGGTGCTGGGGGCAGGGCCCGGGTGACCTTGGCTGTCGGTGGTAGGGCCGGCCACGCCTAGCTGCTGGGCACCGCCGGGTGACGGCCGCCCCGGGAGCAGGGGAGCTGGGCTGGTCCAGCCCCGGTCGAAGCCACACGTGGCCCCCAGTGACTGCCGCCTGGGCTGAGAGCACCTTGAGTGCCCAGCTCGAAGACGGAGGGGAGCTCAGGTCCTGGCCCAGGGCCCCACCAACCTCTTTGCTTCCTGGTGCACACGGGCGCTTAGCAAGCGCTTGTTGGATGAACAAGTAACTTTCTGAGTCTTATAGCTGACGGTGCCCCGGCTGTGCTTACACTCCCTCCCTGGCACCCTGACCTTCCGCGAGAAAGGCTAGACTCCCCAGGCTTGTTCAAGGCCCTGCACACCTGGCCTGGCTGCTGCCAGTCCCCTCATCTTCACCCCCCCATCCCCCAGACTCCTTCTCTCCAAACCACAGGTTCTGTCAGTCACAGCGCATTCCCCGTGACCCTCCAAGACCTGGCTCAGGAGCCCCCTCCCTGGGAAGCTGGCCCTGGTGCCTGGGGTGAAGAGGTCGGTTTCCGCGCGCCCCAGCTGTCTGGGTGCCCAGGCCCCTCGCTGGATTTCCTGCTTTGCCAGGACTGGATGGAGCAGGCCCTGATTCACTTTTGGTCTGTGGTGTCCCCCAAGGTGCTCAGACACAGCGGACCTCCACACATGCTCTGCGAACTGGGCACAGCCGCCCGGCACAGCTGAGCGAGTTACGGTGCATCGGCTCAGGGAATATCATGCGGCCATTAAGAACACGATTCAGAAGATGATATCTGGGTATCGAGAGTCCCCTCCCACAGGGCAGGGGTGGCCCCTCGCTGGATTTCCTGCTTTGCCAGGACTGGATGGAGCAGGCCCTGATTCACTTTTGGTCTGTGGTGTCCCCCAAGGTGCTCAGACACAGCGGACCTCCACACATGCTCTGCGAACTGGGCACAGCCGCCCGGCACAGCTGAGCGAGTTACGGTGCATCGGCTCAGGGAATATCATGCGGCCATTAAGAACACGATTCAGAAGATGATATCTGGGTATTGAAGAGCCCCGCTAGAGCTGCATGCACACCCTCCGTTCCGCCTCGGGCGGAGTGCGCCCCGGGCCGGCCCTGCGCTTGGGACGTGGGCGGCAGGGATGGAAAGGACGCAGTTGGACGAGGAGGAAGACACGCACATATTTCCTGAGCAACATGCCAGGGGCCACGAGGGAGGGACGACGGAGCCCGAGGGCCCCGCGTCCATCTGGGGGTCTGGGCAGGCGGAACGGAAAGCACA